AGGACTTGGACATATCGTGCTCTTATCCTTGTGGAGGCTCTGCAACGGGTGATCTCGTGTTGCAAGGCCAAGTATCTGACTTTTGGTAAGGAGACTGTCTCTGATGTGGAGTTGAACTTGGCCCCGATAAATTTTATTGATCTCGCCGGGGTGAGAAGAGATTTCTCGGCATTGAGTTGGAGGCTGAGGTCTTCGAGGAGATTGAGGGTAAAGGCAATTTGTGACCGGAGAAGGTATGGCGATGTCGAGGCCAGGAGCCAGTCATCTAGGTATGGAAAAACCCGGATTTTTCATCTCCTTAAGTATGCCGCGACTACCGACATGCACTTTGTGAATGTCCTTGGGGCCATGCCGAGGCCGAATGGAAGTACTGTGAAGGAATAAGTCTGTTGTCCTATTTTGAAGGACAGAAAACGTCTGTGGGACTTTCGGAGGGACAAATGGAAATAGGCATCCCTTAAGTCTATCGATGTGAAGAAGTCGTTTCGATACAGCATGGGAGTTATCGACGAACTTTGTTACTTGGACAAACTTGTTTAGTGCCCTGAGGTCGAGGATGGGGCGAAGGGAGCTGTTGGGCTTCGGTACCATGAAGTACCTTGAGAAAAAGGCTCGATTGTCCAAATGAGATGGAGATTTTTGGATTGCCCCTTTTTGGAGAAGAGCGTCGACTTCTGCCAATATTGGTGGTGAAGGGTCTGTCCGGACGACACGGCCTGTGGGAGGCAGTTCTTTGAACTGTAAGGCATAACCGTCTTTGACAACTCGTAGCACCCACGCATCTGACGTGATGCGTCGCCACGCATGTATGAACTGGGTGAGGCGGTCTCCGAATTGGGGAAGCGGCCGGTCCGAGATCGTAAGTTCTCTGGGGTGTCGAAGGCTGAGTAGCTAGCGACTCTTCGTAGAGAAGAACCTTGAGGCGCGCTGCCCTATTCTTTCTCGACTGGGCCGTCAGCGCCTGGCAATGTTTGCAGGTCAAAGTGTTGTGGGCCTCTCCGAGGCAACGGAGGCACTTCGAGTGTTTGTCCAAATCAGGAATCTTTCTCGGGCATTGAATGCAATGCTTGAAGCGCGTGGTTGACATAATCAGGGAACTTTCTGAGCGAGCTGTGCGGCGGAAAAACAGGAACTACCGGGAGTGTGCGCGGGGTGCTTTTATGCCCTGCTGGGTGGCTGGGCGGGGTTACCACCAAAACTTAAAAGTTTCAACTTGGGAAGTTTTCTGTTGGAGCCTGCGCAGGTGCAGATACTCCATATGTGTGCATTCACAGAGGCCACGAAGAAAAAAGTTGTTGTTCTTGTTAAGTGTATAAACTCAAAACTCTCAGTTTGTTTTGAATGCCCCTCATATTAAATATTGGAGTGGTTTGCTGATTCATTAACACATACATCCTGGCTTTCCTGAACAGAGGCCAGACGTAGGCGCCACGGAGTAATAGTAATAGGGCACAGATTAGCTTCATAACTAAGCAGGAGTCTGAACTCGAGACTTTGATACCCAGTACTAACTAACTAAGGTTCGAATCCGGGGAGAGGCGGATGAGTTCCCTTTATCAGCTCCAGCTCCTCATGCAGGGACATGAGAGAAGCCTCCCACAAGGATGATAAAACATCAAAACATCCAGGTGTCCCCTGGGCAACGTCCTTGCAGACAGCAAATTCTCTCACACCAGAAGCGACTTGCAGTTTCTCAAGCTGCTTCTGACACGACAAAAAAAAAGGGGGGGGGGTTGAAATCCCATGTTTATGTGAACCGTCCAAGGACCCTACAAAATTTGAAGACCAACATCCAGGAAGAAATTGCCAACATAACGCCTGCTATGCTGGCAAGAGTCATGATAAACACCAGAAATTGGTTTACTCAGTGTATGGAGAATGGGGGACGTCACCTACCTAATTTGTTCTTCAAAACTACATAAAACAAAACTTTAGGTATGCGGCTACATTATAATTTTTTTCTGATTCATACAATGGGTTTTATTAAGTTTTGAAAAAAGGAAGCTATGCTGCTACACCCTGTACAATGCTGATTGTAACTAGGAAATTATTATGGACATCTGTTTATTGTACTGGAGCAACTGATCAGTCAACACAGTTCTTGGACCATTAATAAGGCCACCTCAAGGATGGCTCCTATATATGCAGTCTGAATTTTAGACACAGTGCTGGAAGAGGTGCTAATGATAATGGATTTTTTATTTAACAGTTTAGTTTACTTTTCATTTGTATAAACCAAGCTCCAGCAAGACCTACCCCTTTTCTGGCCACAAGGAAATCTCATTTGCCAGCGCAGCTACTGTGTCCCCATAAAATCCCTCCGTTCAAAGCCTCTGAGGATCGCCTCATTTATTTCCCCAGACAAGACAGAAGGTTGCAGAGCACTGTGCATGTAGAGAGCAGTTCCCCCAGTGTCAGTTTCCACTTCACTGGGAGCCTTCCGGGAGCCAGGTGAAGTAACCATCCATTTCCCAAACCCTCCCATACCCCCAGCCTTTCTTAAAATAACAAGGTATCCATTCTAAAACAGCATGCCCTATCTCTGGAGTTTTTGCATTTCTAGTTTTTAAAATGATTTACTATGACAGTTTAGCACAGCAGGAAAGGAAGGGGGGGGGGGCTGGAAAAACATGTCCCCTTAAGGCAACAAAATTATGCAGCACTGATCTCCAAAGAACAAGGTCTCTTTTCTGGATCAGACAAGCTAGTCAAAACCGCCAAAGCTTCTCTGAACAAGAAGTCTCCCCGTGCTGGCCTGAGGCGCTGCTCTGTGGCCAAGAGCAGAAAATAAAAGACAATGAAATAATAGACAAGGCTGAGCGGGTGGTGGTGGTTGGGGGGGGGGGGGACCGCAAGCTGTTAGCCACCAGGACAAGCAGTTGTGGAGAATACCACTGTTGACAATTATGGGAAGCTTGCTGAGGAAATGTAATTTCTGTTCAACAAAGATTTGAGATGACACCTAGCAGGCCAGGTAGTGGGGATATGTTTTTTTTTTTTAAAAAAAACAAACACAGGCAATTTTAAGCTCCTAGTATTCTGTAGAGTGGGCCTGACCTGGATAAAGGATGCCTGCCAAGCTCTGTGCTAGAGGCAGGGTCCTTCAGAAGGACCATGGGCCACATTTCTGCCCCTGGTATGCTCCCAGAGCTGCCCAAGTCTGTGGATGGAATGTACATGAGAAGCTTTGTTGTTGTTTTGTCCAGAACATAAAATCAAGCCTACTATTACTGCTGGTAAGAACAGTAACCAGCTCCCACTCTGTACCGCTTTGCAGTCAGAGTCCATGTATTAAAATATCTGTTCATTGCCCAGGAGGCCTTCTCAGGCTACCTTTACACTGCCGTAATGCAATGTAGCTGTTGCATTAGCCTGAAGTATTCAAACAATGCACCAAGGCTAATGTATTTTAACCTGGGACAGGCTTTTTACAATGGCATCTTCCTCTTCCTTTTCTCCTTCTTCTATAAAGCATTTTAACTGCATTATATTGCAATATAGATCCATCCTCAGACAGTCTATCTTTCCTATGTCCCTTTCTCTATTTCTGTCTGAAAGACAAACCTTTTCTCTTCAAGGCAGTTTGGAACTGCATTATATGGCGGTGTAGATCCTATGTGTGACAAAAGTGGGTGTCAAAACCAATAGTTTTTTCTTATTTGTTTATTGATGGATTTGCCAGGAGGATGTCTTGTAACAGCCTCAACAGGAAATGCCTCCCTCTCTTTGCACCAGGAGGCCTTCTATAGTGAGAAAAATCATAGTACCTCATGACAACAGTGGTTCTTCAGCACTTCTGAGAAGGACTACAACACATTTACATTTAAAGTACTGCTTTCTGGCTAGGAGCAAGTCTGGGGTAGGAAAGATGTGTGCGTATGTTTGAAGAGTCTTTTGAGCCAAGGTCCTTTGGCAGTTCGGACTGCCAAAGTCACACTGGAACAGGCCACCTCCCGAGATTTGTCTGCTGGCAGCCTATTCTATGGATATGCTTTATTTCAATATTGTTTCCTTTAAAAACCCATTTCACTATGACACAGAAATTACAGAACTTTTAAACGTTCTGGGTTGGATTCTGATCCAACGATAATCAGAGCAGACATAATTAAAGGAAATATGTTCGCTATTATCAACGAGTCTTATTAACAAATTATCTCCAATTCTATAGCCAATCTGTGTATTTATTAATCAGTTGATTACACAAGGACTAGTTTTTATCAATATATGTGTCCCTTTATGTAAAATATGTTATTTGGGATCTTAAATAAGCAGCTGTCTGCAACATGAGGCACAATCACACTTGGCCAGGTTTACTTGGAAGCATGTTCTAGGGTGCTCCATGTGGTTTACAATGAAATAGAGCCAAAAAGATCATCTTACAACAAAATGAAATCCATGAAAATGCCAGCAGTTAAAACATCATTAAAATCAGGACTCTATGTACCTATCTCTTCCTGTATCTTTGCTTTTTCACTCTCCTTTAAAAATATTGAAAAGTTAAAGCTTTTGCTCCCAAAAACTGCTTAGCAGTAACCATGTTGGCTGAGGGATTATGGAAGCTGTCATCTACAAAATAATTTCTAAAAATCAGTTCTTTAAAAAGTGGAAGGAAGAAGGGAGAGAGAAAGAAACTTGGATGTTGACCTTAAGCCAGAGCATAATCCACTTAATGATCTTAACACCATTGAAGTAAGCAGGCAAAAAAGGCAAATACAAACCCCACCAGATGGCTGGCTATTGGCCCTAATGCGCTGTATAGAAAAAGGAATAATTAGATCAGAGGAAAGGGAGGAGTTCCTTCTCCATGCTAGGAAGGTAACAGACACATGCTCCAGGGCAGGCTGGATAACCCAGGCCCTAAGCCTTTTCCTGACCAATGGTGCTGGGTGGTTGACGGATGAGACATTTTGTACTTTCATGCCCCAGAAAGAAGCCTTCAAATGAACAGCAAGAAGCCCCAAGGAAATGTCAGGAAATTATGTTCCTTCAAAATTACCTACCTTTCGTTGCTGCTGGGGAAAAGAGCCTCTCTGAGCCTTCCGAAGCCTGGAAAAGAACAAAAGAGAAAAGAAGATTGAGTTAAATGAGTGCTTGGTTTATCCCCATAGGCAATAACAAAAGGAGTCAGCCTGAGGTTGAAGCCTGTAGTTATGTCTTACACCTGGAGAGTGCAATGTTGGGCCATGGACAGAGAAGATAGGTAAAGAGGGGGCCATGAACTCAGTGTCGTCGTCCCCCCTCCACTTTTTGAGGCATCCACAGTATGCCAGAGTGGTGTTCGCCTGTCTTTCTGTTTTATGCCCTCCCCACACCCCAGAATGTGCAAATTGGCCATCTAGGTAATGTCATAACAATTTCACAGCTTCTCACTGAGACAGAAGACCTTCTAAGTGAGTGCAGAACGGTTGGGGTTGTAGCCCTCCAAAGAGTCCAGCTTCATTGCAGGCCTCCTCAGCCTGTCCCCATAACAACATAACTCTGGGATGAGCTGATTAAGTAAAGAGGCTTCCCTCCTGTTTATACTCAGGCTGCCACTGTGCTTTTTGAACTTCATCATCCCTGCGGTATGTCTGCTCTTGGAAGTAGTTAAGAAATCCAATTAACCTAAACCTTGTAAACAGCTTCATGGTAATCAGGGGCTGATCACAACATCGACTGTAGAAGACGAAGAAGCCATGTGCACAACATTTCCTTATATCAGCTCTATCCATGTTTCAACTCCTCCTCTATGAGTCCAAACAAGAGAAAACCCAGCAAAATGAATGGGACTTGGGAGGAATGCTTCATCAATTAAATGCTCAGTTTAGTCAATTAACTCACTGAAAATCTACTTCCAATTAATTGGACAGCAGATTTTAATTATTTTTAACACCAGGGCTTATTAAAAACTCCAAACTGTACATTGCTTTCCTTTAAAAAGGCATTCCCTTATGTGCAGACCATGGGGAATGCCTCCCCAAGGGTGTCTGCACTGTAGATTGAATGCAGTTTGACACCCCTTGAACTGCCCTGGCTCCATGCAATGGGAATCTGGTAATTGTGGGTTTTTTAAATTAACAATTTTATTACATTTCTATTCCATTTCATTACAAAATACAATATCTGAAATTCATATATTTCTTTCTTCTCATTTCTCCTGTTGTGCTCCCCATCTCCTGAGTCCTTCTTTCAAGAATAGGGCTCCACAGTCACCTACAGACCCACCGCCAGAACACCAAACTTGGAGGATCATCATCCTCGGACTACGAGGGATTGCCTAAGTAAGTAAGTAAGTAAGTAAGTGAAAGGGGTGTCATGCTGCATTCATTTTACAGTGTAGATGCACCCTAAGACTATGTACTCTGCTATATATGCATTCATCATGTAAAAGAAAACGTATTTACTTAGAATCATTACTTTTTACTCAGATGGAAATTTGTAAAATGTAATTGCCTAATCAATCAACTAGCTCTTGTATGATTAACAGAGTAGGATGTCCTTAACTGGATGACAATCTCTCTTATAGAACTTAAAGAACTTAAAGAACTTTTGCAATTATTCCAAATGTTGCATTCCAAGGCCTACAACAGAGCAGCCTATAGATAGATGAAGACTTTTTTCCTAATACCATTGAAAATGTAAATGACATATTTCTCAGAAAACAGACGTTTCACAAACAAGCAGGATTCATTATTTATACAAGAACATAAACATGGGAGGCACATATAGAGAGATAACAAAAACATATTTCTTCAGATGTATATTCCACTGTATTCATGTATTCATTAGATCCCCCACTGTAGGTATGTTTAGGATTCCTGCCTGTGTATCTAACATAAACTCTTTTATTTAGAAAAAATATAATTAAATTTATGGCTGAACCAGATTAGTTTTTTTCCCAATCTCATGGATATTATTTTGCCCCTCTTTCAGAAGTTTGCATGATTTGACGCCTTATGAATTGTGCTACAACACATTGGGTTTCCAAGCCAGATATTCAGGAAGCAAAATAAACCCCAGAGAAACATAAGCAGACTTGTTACAATCCTAGGCCCTGACCCAAAAGGATCAGCAGAATCAATAGGAGCTTTTTCTTTCCAGATTCAATGGTCTTTGGACTGTGCCTTTTATGGGTAGCACAGAAAAGGCGAGCATTTTCGAAAAGAGTGATTTTCTTGCTACAAGAGGTTATGTGTTGCAGACTGTTGCTGAACGTGACTACATATTTTAACAAAGGAAAAGAAAAGGAGGAAACAAGCTCTGGATGAAGACGGAACTCATATTATAAAGAAATGTTGGGTCAAGTGTTTGCCGCAAAGGTTGTCTCAGGTCACAGAATAAAATATCGCCACAAATGGATTTATCTAATATAGATCTTGATATACCCTGCTCCCCCCTCATATATTGACACTCAAGACAGTTTACAAAATATTAAAACAAACATAAATTAAAATACATATACATTGATAAAATGTTGAGCTAAAGGTATTGTTATTATTATATTATTATTCTTATTATTGGAAACCACTATTTATTTATTTATTTATTTATTTGGGGTGCTTCTACCCCGCCCTTCTCAACCCCCTAGGGGGGGACTCAGGGCGGCTTACAAAAGGCACAATTCAATGCCCAACAATTCACAAAATACAATATACAAAATTACAATATAACATCAACAATTATAACTAATTAAAACAATCAAACAATACAGTCGCAGCAATAAAATCATATTGTGGTCAATGTTTGCCAATTCATAAATCCATGATCCGTCTAGCATCGTCATTGTCCTTTCCTACTCTGGTCGTCATTTGTCCAACTGCCAGCTTACCCGAAGGCCTCGTCTCACATCCAGGTTCTTAGCTTCCTTCTGAAGGAGAGGAGGGATGTTGATGACCTAATCTCCCCGGGGAGTGCATTCCACAGGTGAGGGGCCACCACCGAGAAGGCCCTGTCCCTCGTCCCCACCAGTCTCACTTGTGATAAAGGTGGGGCCGAGAGCAGGGCCTCCCCAGAAGATCTTAAACTCCGAGGTGGGACGTAGAAGGAGATACGTTCGGACAGGTACGCTGGGCCGGAGCCGTAAAGGGTTTTGTAGGTCAAAACCAGCACTTTGAATTGTGCTCGGAACTGGATCGGCAGCCAGTGGAGCTGACACAGCAGGGGGGTGGTATGCTCCCTGTATGACGCTCTGGTGAGTAATCTAGCCGCCGCCCGTTGAAGTTTCTGAACAGTCTTCAAAGGCAACCCCACGTAGAGCGCATTGCAGTAATCTATTCAGGATGTAACAAGAGCGTGGACCACCGTGGCCAGATCCGACTTCCCAAGGTACGGGCGCAGCTAGCACACAAGTTTTAATTGTGCAAAAGCTCTCCCGGCCACCACTGAGACCTGGAGTTCCAGGCTCAGCGATGAGTCTGTTTCTTTTTCTGCAGCTGCTTGTAATTATAACCTGTGAGAGACCACAGGGTAAGGATGGAGATAAAAAGAGGCCAAAGAATTTGACTTTGCTCGCAGACAACTATAGCAATGTCTACTTCAAGATGTTTTCGCTTGTATGTTTACTAATGATGCAGTTCGGCTCATGCAGAAAAATAGGCTCTTAGTCCTATACCCACCATTATTGTATTAAATCTCTTCTCTAAGGCAGAAATCTTTTGTTGCTAGTAGAAACAACTACCAGAAGGAGTAACATTTTAAAATGATAAATATCCTCCTCAAATTATCAAATAATCTGTTGATCATAATTTCCGAATAATCCTGCTCTCAATCCAAACACCCAGAAATCTAAACTAAAATGTCAAATATGCTCTACAATCACAGAAAGAAGGCTACAATCTCGTTTCAGCTATAGTGACTTTCACCTACTGTGCTATGACAAAACCTAAAGTAATACAATAGCTATAAAACTCACATCAGCCCTAGTTGTCAAAGTGAAGGGTAAGGTATACTGGGAGCTGCATGCTATTGTTGCCCACATCTACACTAAACCATGCTTTAGCATCATAGGCAGAATAATAATAATAATAATAATAATAATAATAATACTTTATTTATATTCCACCATCTCTCCCCAAGGGGACTCAGAATGATGCACAGCAAGCCTTGAGCACCCACATTCTTCTTCTTGTGTACCTGAGATAAGGATTTTGGAAGCTTTCACTTCTGCTTTTAGTTGATTATGGTTAGTTTTGTGACAGAAGCTTTTGATAATAATAGTATTGTGAACTCATTCATGTTATCAGGAGCTTATGTTCAAACAAACAACAGGAGGATAAGCCAAAGTCAAGAGTCCACTATCAGAGATGCCCAAATTCAGGAGTCCTTGAAAGTCAAGCTGTAATAACAGAAGTACACATCACAAACAGTGAGATGTGAGCCAATGCCAAGATCCAAAGTCCAGGTAGCCGAAGTTAAGCCAGATATGCAACATTGTCAAGTCAGGAACAAACAAAAGCCAAGGTCACAGTCCAGAGTAGTTCAAAAAGCAGCAGAGTCCGGTTTCAAGACAAGAAACAATGATGTTGTCTGCCACAACAAGACACCACATTGAGGGCCTTTTACTCCTAAGATCTCAGATGTTGCTTGTTTAATCCTTGTTTCTCTGCTAATCTCTTAGAACTGTGACACTCTGCTCAATCTCTCCTAGCTCCAAAGGTGTGTGTGTGTGTGTGGGGGGGGGGGGGGGGATTATATTTAACCTTTCTCTAGCCTGTTTCGATGCGCTTGCCTCCCCCTTTCTTCTGGGGAGTGACTGCTTTAGCTGCTAAATTATGGTTTAGCCATCTTCTCTAAGTCATTGAAGTTTAGGATATCTTCATTGAAAAAAAGACACACCGAGGGAAGGTAAGTGAATTGTACACAAAAATGGGAAACAAATGTACACCTATCTTTAGCAGTGGCTGAGTGAGTCTGGGACTGCTGAGAGCTCACTATTGAAGCTGGAAGTTGTGTTTTTTGAAACTATCCATTGTTAAAAATTAAGCAAAGTTTGTTATTCCACAAAATACAGTAAACAATAGTTGACACACACGAGGTTCTAAACTTCTCTTCCTGACTACAGAACAAGA